GGGGGGGGGGGTGGAGGAAGTGGAAAGCTGCAGAGTCGCCTGGGAACTCCGGGGTTAACCGTGTCTAGTCTGCCAACAAGGAGCAGATCCACCTGGTGAACTATGTGGAGGATTACCTGGACTCCATCGAGTCTCTGCCTTTCGACCTGCAGAGGAACATCTCGCTGATGCAGGAGATCGACGCCCAATACCAAGAGATCCTAAAAGAATTGGATGACTCCTCTGAGAAGTTCAAGCATGAGATGCACAGCACCCGGAAGTGGCGAGTGCTGCACCGCATCCAGAGGGCCCTGATCCGCAGCCAGGAGCTGGGCCATGAGAAGATCCAGATTGTAAGTCAGATGGTGGAGCTGGTGGAGAACCGAACCATGCAGGTGGACAGTCACGTGGAGCTCTTCGAAGCACACCAGGACATCAGTGACAGCACCAGCAGCAGCCGCAAGCCCGGCAAGGACAAGTCCAGGAGTGATGCAATCACTCAGGCAGACAAGCAGAATAACAAGAGGTCCATGAGGCAGCGAAACGATGAGAATAGAGAGAATGCATCTAATAATCACGACCATGACGACATCACCTCAGGAACGCCCAAGGAGAAGAAAGCAAAAACCTCAAAGAGGAAGAAACGCTCCAAGGCCAAAGCAGAGAGGGAAGCCTCTCCCACAGACCTCCCCATGGACCCCAAGGAGCCCACCTACTGTGTGTGCAATCAGGTCTCCTATGGAGAGATGATTGGCTGTGACAACCATGAGTGCCCCATCGAGTGGTTCCACTTTTCGTGTGTGGGACTCAACCATACACCAAGGGGCAAGTGGTACTGCCCCAAATGTCGGGGAGAACGAGTAAACATTGGACAAAGCCCTGGAAAAGTCCAAGAAAGAAAGGGCTTACAGCAGGTAGTTTGTGGACATTCACAGGTGAGAACAGAACCCACCAGTGTATTTAAGGTGTCGCTGCCTTTTCAGAAGTCTGAGGATGCTCAGATTCGTATTTTTAGAGAATGTTAGGAACGGATCCTCTCCATGGGATGGCATGTGTCGTCATGGTGTACCTGTGACCAGACTGAGTCTGCAGATCTGCATTTTAGAAACTACAAATACAGGTTTTGGCTTGTCAGCAAGTGTCAGACTGGTTTTGGGGCTTGGGGAGTGACTTGGAAGTAACTGAACAGATGTATGAAGAAGAGATTTGATTTGGCTGTTTTAACAAAAATGTTATGGTTTACAAAAAAAATTAAATATTAGCCAGGTTGCTGAAGTACAGCAAGTGTGCTTCTTGCTACCATAATGTAAATCCACATGACAAGTTGGTCTAAGGTTTTAAGTCTAAATATTATTTTTTTAAATGGTAAATGGGTAATATTTCATGACATATTTTATACATGGCCTATTCACCAACTGGCCATTGTTAATGACTGGGTACATTTTTAATAGGTCAGACACAAGTGGTCCAGGCAGTGGGTCCAAGTCTTGCCTTTGCTACCCTAGGTCATAGTGTAGCCACCTTTAACTTATATGAAGTGTATAAATGTACATTTTCCAGACACCTTGCCCCTGCTGTATTATAACCAGAAGTGCAGCCTGGTGCTGTTGTGAAGCCAAGGTGTGGGTCCTGCTGTGTGTGTGAGCTGTATAGATGTGACATCAAGAAATAAATGAAACTTGGCTAGTTTTTTTCTTTTGCATTTAATTTTAACATAAATCATTTTAAATTTTTTGTCTTAAAAATTTATGCACCAGCAGTTTAGACAAAGCCTTAAGCAAATTGTATATTATTGATCTCATGTAATAAGGAAGTAGACATTACGTCCATGCCAGAAAATAATTGTCACAAACTACTTAGATCAGAGTTTAGGAAGTGACTGTGTACTTGAGACCCAGCCACACCATGTGTTCTGCGTGGCCTGTGAGCTAAGAATGGTCTCTGTGTTTCTCAGTGGTTTCAAAAATCACATTTCATGATGCAAGAAAGTCTATGAAATTCAGATTTGAGTGTCTATAAATAAAAACTCATTAGTATACACACACGTGCACACGCACCACACACACACACACACACACACACACACACACACACACACACACACACAAAGATTATTCATTAGTTTGTATTGTGCATGTCTCCTGTGCATTATAAACAATACCACTACCAACACTTGTGCTCAAGGTGTGGAAACAAATTTCTTTGTCATAGGCTCCCATCTATAAACTGGGGACTCTATGATAACTATCTGCTTCATGTACCGAGGAACTACTAGACTGTTTTCCCTAGCAGCTATCTCATTTAAATCTCAGCAGCTGTTCATTAGGCTTCTGGTTTCATGGAGTTCTTCTATATAATTTCTGAATGTTTTAATTATACCTTTACAAAACTGAGTATGAGGTGGTATCTCCTGAAATTGATTTTTATCTCCATAAGTGAGTACATTTAACATCTTTTCATGTGCTTATTGATGATTTTTATCTTTGAGAAAAGTGTTCTGCACGCTTGGCTTGAAAGTTGTGTTACCAATCTTTTTTAATATTTTATTTATTTATTTTGTTTTTTTCAGTACAGAGTTTCTCTCCATTTTTTAAGATTTATTTATTCATTTATTTTGTACAGAATTCTGCCTGTATGAAGAGTGCACCAGGTTTCAATAAAGATGGTTGGGAGCCACCTTGTGGTTGCTGGGAATTGTACTCAGGATTTACTGGAAGAACAGTCAGTGCTCTTAATCACTGAGCTAGCTCCCCAGCCCATGTGCTACCCATCTTTCTGTAGGTTTTTGCATGTTAGAAGTGCAAGATTCACGCCGGGCATTAGTGGTTCACGCCTTTAATCTCAGCATTCAGGGGGCTACAGACAAGTCCCAGAACAGCCTCCAAAACAATACAGAGAAACACTGTCTCAATAAAGCAAAAAAGAGAAAAAGTGCGACATTCTTGTCAGACAGATTCTTTGCAAATATCTTCTTCATCCTGCAAGTTTTCTTTGAATTGTCTTTTTACTCTTAAGTGTGTCTTTAAATGTCCACTGGAATGTTTTTCCCAATATATTGATCACTTTAGCAGGAATTGGTATTGACTCTTTGAATAACTCCGATGGAGCCGGCATCTACAGGTGAGGGAGATGGAGGAAGAGAGATGCTAGAACTACCAGAGACACTGGAGACAACTCTTGTGGGCTTGTGCAGCCCTCCTGGAGGAGAGGAGGAGAGACAGCTTTGGGGGGGCGGGGCCCGCGGGGTCCCCGCGGGAGAGTTGGGCAGCCCTGCATTGCTCTAGCAGCCAATTCCCCTAGACTGGACTGCACTGCATCCACTCTCCGAGTCCCACAGGATGACGCCCTCACCCCCCCCACCAGAAGGGACCACACCTCTTGCCATGTGCTGCCTCTGCTCTTGCACTCACTCTCTCTCATCCACACACACAATGGTGGCTGCAGCGGCCACAGCTGGAGTGGAGAGTGCCCAGGGCGCACTGTGAACCCCTCCAGCTTCCCCCAGAGAGCTGATCGTCCCTTAGGCGCCTGGCATACACAGCACCACAAGCACAACCTCTGACTCCTTGGACATCCTGGCTTGCTATGGCTTCCAAAAGGGACCTGAAACGAGGAGGCTCTGGAGCTGAGGTGGCCAAGGCTGCAATGGGTCAAATGGGAGGCAGGAGCTGAGCATCGCGAAGAAGCCAAGGGAAAGGCAGGGGTGGACATTGGTCAAGGCTCACATGGGAGACAACGAGGATGACCACCCACCACCAAGGCACCCAACACACATCGGAACTGAGGGAGATGGAGGGCCTGTGTGCGGGGTCATTAAAGCTAACCCCCCAGCCAAGCAACCCAGAAGAGTGCACTGAGGGCGGGGACGATTGATCATCAAGCTATGCTCAGACAGGCATAGCCCCTGGAAGAACCCTGGTCCGCAAGTGAGTTCCAAGTGTCGATGATCAATGTCATCCAATTCACATTAATTCTTGCAGCTAGCTGCCTTCTTCATTAACGCATGAGCCAAGTGATCCACCGCTGAGAGTTGTATCAGTGTTTTGGATGTGGGAAGAGACAAACTTTACCCAATGGGAGCTGACAGCAGCATGGTCACCACCACAGTCCCCCCACTGCAGACACCTCCAATGGACACAGGAGGGAAGGGGAGGACAGGATAGGGGTTCGCCTCAGGCCAGCTATCTAGACATAGAAGAAAGAGAAAACACAAACTCTAGAGAGGGTCGTGATGGGGGAAAAATACGGAATGACTTGGAATGACTGGCGATGCACCAAGAAAGCAGGGCACCCAGGGTGAGCACCCCGGCACCCAAGGGGGGGGCTCCCAGCCCGGACTGTGGCGAGACCTGGGAACGGCCTTGTACAGGGAAGAAAGGGGAGTCCCAGGAAGCCAACAACAGATGCCACACCCTCGAACCCGGGGATTGAAGGGCGCCCCTCCCCCCCCCGTTTCTTTAAACCTACACACCAGAAAACCATAGCCAGTTACCAGAAAGAACACCTAATACCACTCACCATGCACCACACCACAAGATGTCACCACCACCACCATACCTTCTCCCCCCCCCTCTGAGCACAACAGATCCTGGGACACACCTAGCAAGAAGAAGGTATACATATGTAAGCTCAGCGACAGAGCCCCTCTGGCTCTCTCCTTAATGATCCTTCTGCAGGTTCACCTGCTGAAACCTTGTTGCGACTTTTACTTCCTTTAGATAGCCAAGTTCGACTTCTTAGCCAGGGCCATGCCAGACCCCTCAGAGCCAATCTGAGGGCCTCACTAAATCATCCAATTGGTAGAGTGTATAAAGGGCAGGGACTTAATCAATGCAAGCTTATGACCCGCACTTACTGGGAATTCCTAATTCATGGGGAATAATTGCAATCCCTGATCCCCATCACGAATGGGGTTCAATTGGTTGCTCACTCCTGCTGGCATAGAGTAGGCACACGCTGAGCCAGTCAGTGTAGTGTGCATGCAGCCTCTGACATCTAAGGGCATCACAGACCTGTTATTGCTCAATCTCAGGTGGCTGAATGCCACTTGTCCTTCTAAGAAGTTGGAGGATGCTGACCACTCCGGTGTCACTTAACTAGTTAGCATGCCAGAGTCTCCTTCCTTATTGGAATTAACCAGACAAATCACTCCACCAAATAAGAATGGCCATGCACCACCACCCACAGATTCAAGAAAGAGCTATCAATCTGTCAATCCTGTCCTTGTCTGGTCCAGGTGAGGTCTCACATGTTGAGTCAAATTAAGCTGAAGGTCCACTCCTAGTGGTGATCTTCCATCAATTCCTTTAAGTTTCAGCTTTGCAACCATACTCCCCCCAAACCCTAACACTTAGGTTTCCAGGAAGCTACCCAGGAGGATCAGGGAATAAAACCACTGCATCTCCAGTTGGCATTGTTTGTGGTCAGAACTTTGATGGTATCTGATCATCTTCGAACCTCTGACTGTTTTCTTGATTAATGAAAATATTCTTGGCAAATAGTTTCCCTCTGGTCTGTCTTGCACCGATCCAAGAATTTCACATTTAGTGGCACAATACGAATGCCCCAAGCACCCCTCTTAATTATGACCTCAGATCCAAAAACCAACAAAATAGAACCACTCCATCTGCCAAAAATACCACATTGATGTTTACAGTTCAGAGCAGAAACTGCTCACAGTTTGTATTTCCATTTTATCTCTTTTTCCATCATCTCTTAGGGCCAGATAGATCACGATTTCCTTCCATGTACAGAAAGAGCTATCAATCTGTCAATCCTGTCCTTGTCTGGTCCAGGTGAGGTCTCACATGTTGAGTCAAATTAAGCTGAAGGTCCACTCCTAGTGGTGATCTTCCATCAATTCCTTTAAGTTTCAGCTTTGCAACCATACTCCCCCCAAACCCTAACACTTAGGTTTC